TAGTTTTGTACTGTTAACGTGGTGTATTATATTCTGTGCTCCGTGGTTGTAGTCGCAGTCCAAAGACAGAGACTCGGTCGCGGTCCTCGTTGTGCGCCGGCTGCAGTTTGCGTATATTTATTTTTTTACGTATTTTTCCGCTCATTTTTCATAATATCGTATAGCAGCGATCCGTCCCACAGATATCGAAGAGCGCTCGCTCCGCCAGACGGCCATTTGTACCCATCGTCGTCTCCTTATACTTAGGCCCACTACACGGTAATGTGCGTTATATTATCGTCGTACAATAATATTATACACAATATATAATATATGGGCTTCGGGTACACACGTTCGGATCGTTGCGACCCGATAACGTTCGATGGAACACAGTAATATTACAATATCGCAATGGATATATTATTATATGTCGTCGTAGCTGGTATATAGGCACATAAATTGGCATGCATTAAAGTACATCATTTTAGATGTATTATGTGAGGTCTTCTATAGCGTATAGGTATAGGCACACACGATCCGTCAACATCGTCTCCGTGAGAGGAACACAACGATAACGGTTGTCAATTATTATACTGTCGATATTATATTATTATATATTGTGTTGTGTTTTATAAAAATCAAAATGATCGACGACAACGACAAAAAAAAATCGTCGTCGCATCATCACCGCCCCAGCAAATCATAATATTATACAAATCCGTATGAAACGTTCAAACATGGCGTTCGTCAATATTGTACTATAGGTAGGTACCTACGTGTGATGACTAATGCGTGTGTACAATTTGATTTTTCGAACAAAACGGAAAATATATGTTTTGAACACGCCGTTAAACCAATAATGACGGACGGAAACGAATATAAATTATTTACCATGCAAATAAAGTAAACCGCCCCACGACTGTTTGTACATGACGAATTCAGCCACCTGGACGCCAGGACATATATATATATTATTTTTTTTAATTTCAGCTGTTACTGTTGAATGAGGGTGATTTACTTCATTGGCACCACTACATTTACCGAGGGCCATTAAACGCATACATGTATACGTACAATAATATATTAATTTATATATATTATTATGACTGCAATCCGGCAATGTATAATATTATTGTAGTGAACACGAAACTTGCAACGTTGAAAACAACGACAGTGTTAAACAACCGGATTACAAGGAGATAAAATATGCGAGATAATAATTAAGCGACGAGACGAGTTGGTAAATCAACTGCAACCCGTTGAAGTTTTTACCAAAACACAAAATAATTTTATTCTCTAAAAAAAAAGTGTCAAAAATTAGCTACTGACTTTACAATATTCTAATAGAAGAGTACTTATTGAATCGATTTATTATTAATATATAATATTATAATAGACTTAATTGTCATTAATTGAGTAGTTTAATGGTCTATGATTGCAGTAAAACGTATTTTGCATTTTATCCGGTAAATTTTGACTACTTAACAATTTGGATGAAAAATCGTGTTTTTGTAAAACAATAACCCGTTCGATAACACGAACGTTTTACCCAAAACGTTTAAGAATAATTTTCCAGTAAATATCGTCCTATATAATATAGGAGGTATCTATACAAAGATACGTAGGCACCACGGAATAAAACCTTGAAATGTGGAGAAAAAAGAGAAAAATCCTTAGAGATCAAATTACTCGCGCGGCGAAGCATCAATTATATAAAAAGAAAGGCGTATAATATATATATATTTATTTATAATTTTGGTACGTTTTTCTAGCAACAGCGTATATATTCCATCCACACAGTCGTTCCCCGAGGGCTGGATAAACGACACATTATCATTACAAACACACACACACACACACATACACACACGTAAAGTCGGGGCGATAATAACAATGACGAACGTCTATCAATCACTAGCCCTCAGGCCGGTCCGGTGCACGTCGATAATTATAACACGGGCGATTTATAATATAGGTACCTACACTAGTTTTCGGGGTATCACGTATATACATAAAGAACCTACCTATACGCCACGACGTACAAGCCGCAGCTCTATATGTCTAATAGTATAAATACACATAAAAATAAGTCTGTTTTATGTAATAAAAAATGTGAACGGGGTATTTATAATAGTGGTTACCCCCGGTGCACGGAAATTATAAACGTCCTCGAGCACCCGGTAACCTGCCGGGCGCCACGGTCTCGTTTTGCGACTCCCACGGAATATAATATTATTATTATTATTATGACGTACAGTAAAAACGAGAGAAAAAAAAAATTATAAAACCAACCTTCCACCAATATTTCACTGCCGATCACGGAATCCTCGGGATCAATTATTGCTCATTATCCACTTAACATTGGAGAGCAATCACTCATCCGGGGATTTGCCCCACAGCGCCAAAGGACCGGGAAAAACGGCGTAAGCAACGAATGCACCGCATAATTATTGATACAGAGTATAGGTAGGTATGTATATATATACTAAACGTAGGTATATACAGAGAGGAGAACTATATTATAAGCACGATCGTTATTATGATTGTAGAACACTGTGCGAGGGTGGGGCGAGGAGAATATTATTCCTGCACCGCTTATAAATTATTATTGATCAAAGATGAATAGTTTCCCGCGTCGGAGGTATGCCCACACACACCATATCATAACATTTACGTGTACAGCAACAATGGTAATCGTTATTATAAGTCCGAGACTTTGAATTATTATCCTTTTGAAAATATACCATTATGCTGCGCACAGCTGTACCAATAATATCATATACATATATAGCTAGGTAAGTACCTATTACTCGTGTGATAGTATAGACGGCAGTAGGCCCGGATCAGTAGTTGTTGTTTTACGAATAAAATATGGTGACATATTATATCGTAGATAATATATAGAAAATGTTTCAGACGTATAATAGCATCCGAACGAAGAGAAGTAAGATTATTGTAAGATGATCACTGTCTTGTTATAAAATGTATTATTTTTATAATATAATATATTATCATACCTATTACCTATATTACTATATACACTCGTAGTACAGACTGTTATTCGTATTCCAAAACCAAGGTGAACAGAAGTATAAAATACTTTTAAAAACTTATATTATAAATAAAAATAAAGAATTATAAAAAATTCAACGAACATACCTATATTAAAACATAGTAAAACGTCAAGAGTAAAAGGAACAATATCGAAAAAGGTGAAAAAAAAATCCTACATAATAATATTATAATGTACAAATATTTAAGACGTATAAAAACAATTAATACTATACGAGCATTTCGAATGAAGAGAAGTAAGAATATTTTAATATGATCGCTTATCATGATATGGTATTATTTATATAATATTTAATAATTACTAATACTCGAATTCCAAAACCAAGGCAAACAGAAATATAAAATACTTACCTTGATGTTTGTCAAAAAAAAAATGAATAAATATACCTATATTAATTAATAACGTAGCAAATCGTATAAAAAAAAGTATTTAAGTCAAAATAACGAAATAATAAATTAAAATCTACCTATTCATTTGTTTAATGTTTTTGAGAACTAAAATATCATGAAAACCTAACCTGTATAAAATACCAACGAATGTCGATTATATTAGAAGAGTATTATATTATTATACCATTAATATACAATAACGTAATAACTATATTGTGACTATTAAAGACCTACTGAATATATTCGTACAAAAACTTGCTGGCCGTCCGTGCTGAGATATTTTTTTTTAATAAGCCCGGTAGGCTTTTTAAAAATCTAATCATGGTATTTAAAAATACTGGGTTTATAACCACATTCTTTCAAACGTAGGTATGCCTATACAATTATATATACAAGTGATGGATGCAAGTATTTAGTTCTTAATGTTCAATTATTTTCGTATTATTTTTGTTGATTAAATTGTTTAAAACTATACCTATTTATCGGATTCAAAATATTTCGTTGAGTATTATTGTTCAATCGTTTTGTACATTTTTGGTACGGTAAAAGATTTGTTTGTGTTTCATTATAAAATACCACTAATAAAGTTACTGGTCATCGGTCACCATATAACGTCATTTTTGGATGTAATTCTTACTTTAAGGTATTTTTAAATATCAACGAAAACAAGGATATTGAGGAATAAATGTTTAAGTACCATCATCTTTATGTAGAATACAAATCACGGACCTGTACGGGTCTTGAAAAATACATTGGTACCTAACTATCGGTCCAATCCCGAAAGTTTTGACTTGACGTGCAGACCACTAAAAGTGACATTATATGAAAACCGTACATAAATATTATACTTATAAACATATTATATATTTTATAATGATATGTAGTGCGACAGACCTTGCACGATGATATTGTGACATGTGGTTACAAAATATAATATTTTTCGATAAACGAGTATAGGTACTAAATATGTATGTATATTGCGCGTATTACACTGCCTGTACATTTTTTTCCATTTCCCATCATAGATATATAAGAAAAAAATCGAAAAAGCCAAAAAAATTGTTATTTTTTCAATTTTTTTATTCATTATTATTTAATGTTTTCAAGGTATCATCCTGAAAGGGTCAAGAAATATTATAATGGTGATTACTAATTTATTGATACTGCGGTATTAATTTGTGTTTAAGTTTGTTGTAGAATTCTGTAAAGCCAACCGTTTGAAACCAATATTGCTTAGTATACGGATCGGTACTGTCAGATAAATGACCAGAAACTGACTCAGCCCGGCCCTCGGGCCTTGTAAAACAAATCGACTCCTACAGACCGGGCCGGGCTTTTTTATACTATGTAGACGCGCAATGATGAGCTCTTGCCGGGTTGTAAATGAAACCCGAAATCGTCGCCGGTCCTCAGACTTCTACGTATATAGTGCTTATACAACTTGTGGACGTAATAGCGAGCCTTATCGACAGGAAATATTTAATTTCCTCCTTGTCTCGCCTGGGCACTCATACTACGGCTGTCTGCCTGCTCATCGAGTTATACTCTCGCTGGCCGTCTTACACTCGTGTACCTACAATGCGCGATGACCGTCTGCTGAGGTTAGGTCGCAGGTTATGATTTCCGCTTTTAACTGGATCATCGTCGGCTGCAGTTATTGTGACGGGTTGACAGCCATATAGTATCGAAAAACGGACACTGCTGCAGAGGAAGCCCGTCCGCTTCCCGACTGACATCGTCGGAATGCAATCCGAATCGAACTGAGCGGACTGAGGAGTGGTCCCGCTGAGCTCCACGTACGGTGCCTGTCTGCGTATAGTTCCTGCTGAGAGTCGACCCGCCGCGAAAGTCATATTATTATATACCTGGTCAGGTAAAGTCCGTCACTCCTCATCCCCTCCTCCCACCGACCACGGCCGCGGAAGAACCAATTAGGACGGGACGTCTCGTGACGTCTCCGTGGGCCTTGTACAATATTGTAATACACAGACGATCGTATTATTTGTACATACCTATTGCAGGCGGAAGTGTTTGATAAACGACAGGATATTTTTCCATTTTTTTTTTATAACGTCTGAAGCGCTCGTTGACCGATAGCAATGTAATAGGTACGAAAAAAGTCGTGGAACAAAAATATTGTACTGTACGTGCTACGTCCGTCAGACTTCACGTACGTAACGGGGTACGAATTTATTAGCCGTTTACTACATCACCGCGCCGTACCTACCTGGGCACAAGAGTTGTTTTGAAGTTTTTTAATTTTGTGTACAGAGTTGATTGTAATAATATAATAATTGTCATAACGAATAGGTACTGCGAGAACGTAGTTATTCGAAACGAATATTAATTTCACCGCTCAACATTTTGTAACACGAGTATCCATCATCACATCGGGGAATTAACAAGGTCCGTGGACCGTGGGCAATTATCAACAAGTTTTTAGTTTATAATATTATGGACTCGACACTCGAACACCTTCGTCCGATACCGTGGTTGGTGTCGAGTAGTGTATAATATTAATAGACAACGCGTTCTCGTGACGCCCACATAAAGCACCTGTGCTGCAGCATAAAACATTATGGTTGGCTGATGTCTTGAACCTTTTCAATTAACGTTTTAAATGTTTAATAGTCTCATTATATATATGGGGTCTGAAATAACTGACCCAATATTTAAGTAGGCATGTTAATATGCTAATATATTGTATTACTCGTACTATATATTTTTCGGAGATGTACTATAGGCTCATTTTGAGAGGAATAATTAAAGAATATACTATTATTATTCAAGGCTGTTGTTGGATTATAATAGAGGTGTTTTTTAGTGTGTTTTCTTATTTTTCAGGTTATTTCCTCGAGAGCTCTTAATACCAACCCATACACTTAGACGATTAATCGTTTTCAATCGGTTGGCCTTGTGTATTAATTATTCTGAAATATTATACCTGAACATAAATGAAAAACATTTTAATCACCAGTAATCAGTATATTGAAGAAAATTCAATACACACATTTAGTATAATATTGAATAATATTATATACATTTTGTAATCGCACTTAAAAAAGTATTAACTCCATCGTACGTGATTTGTTATCAAATCAATATCTTTATCACACTATATTATGTTCATGAGTATTGTAGAATCGTATTCTCATATAGTCACTATAGAGGTTTGCAAGGCTCAGTCAATTTTCATTTACAACCCGACACGGATTTATTGTCTACATAAAAAAGATCGGCCTCGGTCTGGTTTCAATTTATTTTTCCTAGCTGGGCTGTGTTAATTTCTGATCATTTCTTCGAGATATACGTTTATTCTCGTATACGTTTAATTGATTTCGATACCAGCTTTTGCTTCACGAACTTATGGAGTCTTTTAAGCAATTTTTTTATTTTAAATATTTTTACCACCACCTTTCTTATATTACACCAAAGTGAGTCACTGCGGAGGGCTAACTCTAAACTTAATGGCATGATATATTAATCATAGCACTTTTCATGATATTAAATTTGTGTTGAGGACTTGAGGTCTTACGATGACTCAGCCATTCAACCACCCACCCTCCCATTACAGCCATGAATCGATTGCTTCTAATATTCCTATATCCTGACGCCATTGACAATTGGTTGGTCAGAACTCTAAACTAAAATACAAATTAAAACCATTTTAATTGCCAAAATTTGTATAGTAATATGCAATATACATTATAGTATAATACCACATTTAGTACCAACGACAAATAATTTTATATTTTTTGATCATATTTCTTAATGTCATTGTGAGTTATATGTGACTCTAAATATCCATATAATATATCATACTAATAATACTATAATATTTTTATGGATCGAGTATATAGTTATATTCAAAAATCTTACTATTCCATTATAGTGATACGCTCCAGCCAATTTTAACCTGGCCAAGTCAGCTGAAAAAAGCCAGCCGGCCTGGTACCAATATTGGGTGTTTTGAAAATATAGGTGTTCTCTGTTTTATCTATACATAAAATGTCTGGCTAGGTCCAGTAATAATTTATTTTTCAAATAACATTCTGGTTTTACACGTACCTACATAATTATATAATATAATAATATTCTTCAAATTAAAAATTTTCTCACTAGGTAATCCTTGTGGCTAATAGTATAACTATAACTTTATAAACAGTACGGTACTGTTTATGTTGTTATACTGCCAGTAGCTATATTTATACAACAAAATACATATAAATATCCCTTACACAGTTACGTATACTTAAACCGTGGAAATAAGCGGTCAGCGCAGTTCAACGAAATAAACTACCTTGAATTTATAAAAAAAGGAACCAATCAATAAAATTGATAAAAAATTGTATGAAAATAACTAAATATTTCACAATAAATCTTTTATTTTTATTTGTATAGTAATAATATATACGTATTTATAGTAGATATACTTTACTCGTAAAAGAGGGTTTGCGATATTATATTTTTAAATACAATGATTCAGATTTTTAAAAGTCCTCGCCCTTTGGATACTCTAATAGGTAGGTATAGGAGGTATATATAGGTACGACTCCAATTTATTACTATCGTGTTGTGCAGTCATTTGCGTTACGACAATAATAATAATAATAATAATAATACCTAACTTAACGATAACTCGTTAAAGGCGATGGCATTCGGAGATTTCGAGCCGGTCGGCGGGATTTTCGAAGGAAAAACCGAGGAAAAATAATTGATGGTTTGCGGTGGTACAATTCCAATTAGCGACGAGTGTTGTAGTACCTAAACGTAAGTTCGTTCATATGTCTATATACGCCGAATACGAAAATGTCGATATAGGTACCGTTGTTTAGCGGGCGGCAGATTTCGGTCGGTCGGTGGTCGCTGAGGCACTCTATATCACGGCTGCAGCTGGACAAACACCGCCGACGTCGGGCGATATAAAATAATAATTATACGCGTTTATTATTATATCATTATTATCATCGTAGTCGTCATCGAATCCGCGTCATTACACACAGCGGCACGAAAATAATAATAATATATAACATTATATTATTATTATTTTTATATTGTACGGCCGTCGCGAGAGGAGTGCCACGAAAAACATTTTTCGTTTCTCACGCGTCCCGCTCGTCATCTCTCCGCGGCTTGCCGTTGACCTCTGAGCGCAAATATAATGTATAATATTGTATAGAGCTACCTATACCTTCCACTACAATAATATTATTATCTGCAGTAGTTGCACCTATATATAGGAACAGACGTGTATACGAGCTGCTACTGCGCTCGTGTGTATATTTATATTATGCCTCAGCCTGCCTATGTACACACACACACACACCGCTGGTAATTTTATTTTTTATTTCTATTTCTTTTAATCACACCCGGTAATGGGCAAATAATAATGACGGAACGGATAATAATAACTATTTTTTTTCCTCTCTACATTATATTCTATTCCTTTTTCGCCTATACCCGGTCCCCGCGACTCTCCGCCCCGCCACCGCCGCATACATTACGCGCGCTTACACGTACGCCGAATTATACGTTTGCTGTGTTTGCGGGCTCAGCACTTACGCGTGTACAACGTCTGTCGTCCACACGAGTTTAAAGGTGTGTGCGTGTGTGTGTTCACATGTGTAGGTCAATATATATATATAATATCAGGCAGGTACCTACTACTGCCCGAAACTCGCCGAGTGGGCACATCGCGAGGACTTTGTAATTAGCCGGACAGACGGACGTCGTGTATGATTAATGTGCCGCCGCGTAACACAAGTAGCGGCGGCGGCGGTTCTCGCGATGTCCATTAATACGCCGCCGCCGCGTTCATGTTCTCCTCCGATCGTCCGGTCGGCCCCGTGGATAATTGAAAACGCCTTTCTGATGATCTATACGTAAGCGCATATATATATATAATTTATATAATATATTATTCAATAATCATAATATATATATATATAGGTATGGGCGATTTACGGGCTACATACACGTTTCGGCTTCTACGCACAATAATAATATACGGTGCAGACTTATGTGTTGCAGTAAATGAGTATGCGAAGAACGAAAATAATGTGTATAAGTGGTGTACCCATACTGCTTGTTGTGTTTGTATTGTCTATAGCGACTGGCACCGAATTGGTCCCCGTTGAAAAAACCGAGCTGAATTGTGGTTCCCGTTACTGCCTGGTTCTGTTATAGGTACCCATCAAAGGGCATGCACCAGTTGCCCCCAAAAGTACCTTTTTTTTATACCGATTCCCCCCCAAACTACCTAGAGCAAAATGTAACCAGTTGCCCTCAACCAAATGTACCAGTTGCCCCCGACCGAATGTACCAGTTAACCTCTTATGTAAATACATATACGATTAAAATATATGGCCCGTAAAATAGAGGAAGTAAATATACAAATGATAATTATAAACAGTAATTATTATAACAAAACATAGTACATAATATTATATCTATTTTATTTACTATTTTTTTTTTTTTTTTTTTTTTTTTTTTTTTTTTTGATAAATTATCACATTGAATAAGCCACTTTTCATTATAATTGTATTATTTATTATGAATTTTTTCCACCATTTTATAGTATTTTTTTGTTGAAAAATTATAACATTGAATGTCACATAATTATAATATTTATTATTTTATTGACTATAGTATTCATATTATTTATCACAAAATACATTATTATGTATATATTCCAAGCATATGAATTTTTTTTTATCATTTTATACTATTTAAAATAATTTTATTTATTATTCGTATATTCAGCTCCCATATTTTACTGGCTATATATTGTAATCGTGTATATAGTGTATATAACATGTAAGGACAACTGGTACATTTGATTGAGGGCAATTAG